GTTTAGGCCGAGCTTATTTCACTCAAATTTTGTAATCAAGCTTATTTTATAGAAATATCAAATATTCTCACTCTAGAATACTTCTCCCTTTATTTATTTGTTCATTTTTCACTCTATATTCTCAATATAGTTTGATGTGATTCACAAATAATTCTGAAATCAATAGTCTGATTCATTTACGAGTTCTCCTGATAAGAAGCCTCAACGAGTTGTAACGATAACTTCTACTCAATGGGTCAGTGCCTTGGACAATTAGGCAAGTTCATCACGATGAAATTTTTATTAAGACTCCCATTTTATGACTATACCAATTTATTATTAAGGAAATAGTCCTCTATTAATTTCACTATTGAGGAAATATTTCCTCTATAATGATGAATGCAAATTATTCTCATAATAGCTATCATATTATAATCACATCATATATGGAATTACTGCTACTATTGCTATCCATGGAGAATGAAATAGTTTATCATCAAGTAGGCTATAATTATAATAGAGAAAATAATATATATGTTTTTTTCCTGTTTCTTAAATTAAACAGAGAACAGAACTTCTAATTAACTTTATGTAAGCAGAAAAATAAATATATCCTTACTTTTTTCTTTCTTTTCATCCATTATAAAAATGTATTTACAACAACACTTATATACTATAGTGTATGAGTATAATCATAATAGAGAAAACAATATATATAGTCATGATTGTACAAAAATCATCAAATAATAAAGAAAAAGAAAACTATACAGACTTGGACATATCAAAACCAAAGATTAAAACTATTCAACCGACTCTTTGTCCTTCCCCTGACTTGAAACTGAATGAAGAATAGGTGTAAGCTAACACTTTGACGCCCTATGATTTAATGGAAGGATTAGACTTACTTAAACTTGTAATTAATTAACTCATTCATAGATAAAAACGACTAGAGCTACTAATTTTTGTTTTCATAAAACAAAAAAAAATATAATACATTTGCATTTGATCAAAATATAAATACATAGTCCAATCAGCTTTCAATTTTATACATCAGAGTAAATAAAGTTGGATTACAAAATTATTATGCTCCAAGCTCCGAGACTTCTCTTCTAGACCTATTTTACTCCATCGGATCCTTTCCTTTGCCTAAAACATTTAAAGCAGTAGAGCAAGCTCAATTAGCTCAATAGACTCCTTCCCTTACTCCTCACTGATATTATCCCATGCAAATATTTAAAAGTAGTTAATTAAAAACTAACAATTGAAAACTTAATTTCATATGGCCAAAACATTCATAATAAGGAATGCAAGAACATAATAAAAAACAAGAAAAAGTTTCATAAAACCTAAGAAAAATTCATTTCATTCATATCTTTTTATAAACTTATTGAAATTAAAATCAGATATAAGGGTTTATGAGTCTATCTCGAGCTCTATAATATCCCAAAATTGCCCGATAGATGAATCCCAAGATTTAGCTTCCAAATCCCTCTCTCCTCCTTTATCTTTCCTCTCGTCCTCATCCTCCTCTCTTCTTTTTAGACAATGGTTGGATGGAATGAGAATGAAAAAATGGTTTCATATATTTTAATATTATATTTTAACTATTTTGACCTAGCGCCTAGTGCTCACTTCCCCTATATCACTACGCTCCAAAAAAATATTCGAGATTCTTATAGAATATCCTCACCTTTGACTCGGTGTCGCTACGATGCTTCACCGGCACCATAGCATACACCTAAGAGACTACTCATAATAAGATTTTTTCAAAATGATTGCCCCATCGACTAGCTGGATGGATGTTGATGTCTGCAACAATGAGAGGGTGTGTTAGAGGCTCAAGAGGAGATGGTAGGAAGAAGAAGAAAAAAAAAATGAACGAGCACTACTACTTCATAAATTTATAGTTTTTTTACTGCCTTTATGGCCTAATGAACTCAAGTTAGTACAAATTCAGGCTCATTTGAACCGTCTCAACAAGATGTTAGTTTAAACTATAATATGCAAAAGTTAAAGTTAGTTTGACCATTCAAATAATTTTTTAAAATACTTATGAGTGCAACTTTCAAGATTATCTACACACTAATTTAGATGATTTTGATATTAATAGAATTATCTTGATTGACAAATTAATTTCATTATAATTTTGCTAAAGAGAAAAACTTTTAAAATGAGAGATTTATTTATATAATATTTGAAATTATTCTATTTTGCATCTAAAACTATTTATGTAATATAACATTCCGTTAATTTTTTCTTATCTTTGAGGGGAGCAAATTACCTAAATATTCATGTAATTAATATTTTTTTAATTTTTTTTAGGGGGCAGTAGAGGGTTCCGCCCCTGATCATGATGTGATGCTAAGACGACGAAAAAAATGAAATAGTCATGACAGAAAGGGGGATCCATAAGACCGATAGACATACGAAGGACACAGAAAAGATGAAGTGATGATGAAATTTAGTTGGTAAACCTTGTTGAATGGACCAACGTCTTATTGTGACAAATAAAGAGGAGTTTAATGATGAAAATTTAACCAAAAGTTTGACTGAGTGTGCGCGTTTTTATATTATTTTAAGGAAATTTGTTTTATATGAGTAAAAATTTAGTTGGTAAACCATGTTGAAAGGACCAACGTCTTATTGTGGCAAATAAAGAGGAGTTTAATGATGAAAATTTAACCAAAAATATGATGAGTGTGCTCGTTTTTATATTATTTTAAGGAAATTAGTTTTATATGAGTAAATAATAAAATTTAGGTATTAAATATATAAATAAAATCATTTTGAATATTATATATATTATTTATTTAATTCTTAACTTATTAATTTAAATTACTTTAATTTTTAAAAATTATTTCAAATTTTCTGTGCAATCTGATCGGAATTTTTGATATCTCACTTCGAGATAACTGCAGCGTTTTATCTCTCCAACTTTCTCAATCCCGATTTCCCAATTCCCAAAACCGCCATTTCCCACTCTTCCTCTCCGTCGCCTGCGATGGCCGCAGCGGCGGACAGCCTACTGAAATCTGGTGAAGTTTCCGCCATGATCCGCCAAGGCTTTCTATCCCCTTCTTCTACCCCGTTCTCTTCCTCCCGCTTCTCCCCTCAACATCCCTCCCCTCCATTCTCCTCCCCGCCACCCTCGTCCTCCTCTTCTTCTTCCCCTTCCACCTCGTCCTCCTCCTCGTCGCACCCCTCTCCATCAACCCCACCAACCACGCTGTTTGATATGATCGCTAGGGAGAATCAAGCTCATCGTCCGTCGGCGGAAGCAGATCACAACGAAAAGCGATTACGGCTCCAGGAGCGGATCGCTAGGGTGCTCGCCGGAGCGAGGCCCGATTGGGGACATGGCGATGTGGAGCTGTCGGTGAGCTCTGCTGATGGGTTTAGAGTTTCGATGGGGGTTCATCGTCGCGTCTTGGCAGCGGGGAGCCGCTTCTTTGCGGAGAATCTGGGGCGGCGGGGCGGAGTGGTGGAGATCTGCGAGTGCGATGATGTGGAAGTGTACGTTGAAGTGGTGGCTATGTTGTACTGTGGCGATCTACGGAGGCGGCTTTGCGGCGAGGGTGCAAAGCGGGTGCTTGGTTTGCTCAAGGTAATCTGCTTTCTCCGTTTTCTTTGGGCTTCTGTCTTTTTTCTGCCTCCTTGGTATTGAAGAATTGGGTACTACACTTCTACTGGGCTTTGTAATTTGGCCAATAATCACAACACAACTGCAATATATTAATCAGAACTAGCTTATGGTTTAAGGCCAAGAAATGAGTCAAGAGGCAAGTCAATAAATTAAACAGTGAACAAAACTTCTATGAGCTCATTCTCAGTTGAATTAACAAATTCAATATCTTTTTGGATCACTGTTCAAGCAGTATCAAATTTTCTAAAAAAAAAAAGTTGCAGTAATACAAACTGATAAAAAAATTAATGAATCGGTACAGGTTTCAGCAGCCATAATGTTTGATGCTGGAGTGACAGCATGCCTTGAACACCTGGAAGCCATTCCATGGTCCGAGGAAGAGGAAGAAGAGGTAGTATCTGTTCTCAGTCAGCTACAGCTAAGAGACCCAGTGGCTGAGGTTTTGCAAAGAGTTCTCGTGGAATCATCTTCTTCCTCCAGAGCAGATGCAATTTTCCTGCGGCTTCTTGCTGGCGTTCTGCAATCCAAAGACGAGAAAGCTCGCCGAGACATGAAAGCTTTGATGCTTGGATTGCTCAGAGAAGACAATCCTCAAACTGGTGAACTCACCGATAGGATTGATGTGTCAAGGGAAACTCTGTATCACCTCTGCCACAAATGCCTCAGTTCTCTTCTGGTCAGTGTAACAGAAGCTGCAATGCTGGATGAAAACAGGCGCGATGACCGTGGGAACTTCATGGCTGAAATTGCTCATGAAGCCGACAACATCCAGTGGCTATTTCAGATTCTGATAAGCAAGAAGATAGCTGATGAGTTTGTGATGCTGTGGGCAGAACAAAAAGAGCTTGCAGATCTCCATGGCCAGATTCCAAGCATATTTCGATACGAAATCAGCAGAATTACAGCTCAGTTATGCATCGCCCTGGGCAAGGGAGAGGTGTTGGTGGCCAAGGAAGCTAGGTTTGCGGTGTTGAGTACATGGCTGGATGCACTGTATGAGGATTTTGGATGGCTGAAGAGAGCTTGCAGAGGGCTTGATAAGAGGATGGTAGAGGAAGGACTGTGTCAAATGATACTGACATTGTCAATGGTGCAGCAGCAGGTGGTGCTGCTGCGGTGGTTCGATAGGTTTCTGAAGAAAGGAGATGAGTGCCCAAATTTGCAGAGGGCGTTCCAGGTGTGGTGGAGAAGATCTTTTGTGAGGAGGTTTGTAGGAGAAGAAGAAGAAGGTGGAGGTCAGTATCCTTCTGATTTGCAGATTGTTGTTTGTGATCAGTCTGCTTGAAGGTTTTAATCGGGTGCTTATTGGCCTGTTTATTGTGCATAGGCTCGCTTGATTTTCACATGGAATGTGCAGACTAATGAGACTTTATCATCCTCTTGCATACAGCATTTGTGTAGGCAGATGCTATGGAGAAATTATTAGGTTTGGGCACCTGACAGAGAGAATCATCTGGATTTCTCTCTGCGCAGTCAAATCAAAGTTACTGTAGCTGCTGCGCTTTTATTGTAGACAGAGAGAAATCCGGATGATTCTCTCTGTCTGATGTTCGCACCTTGTAATTTGCCGATGCTACATGCATGTAGAGTTGAACTCGTGCATTGTGTGACCATTTTCATTTATTTTATTTCTTTTGTGAACAGCTTCAAATTTTTTTGAAAGATTTTGAGAGCCTCGGCTCAATACATTCATGTCAAAAATGATTTACAGAGTAAAAAACCAACCTGCACAAGTAAACTCAAAAGGACACTTCTTAACAAACTTAAATAAGAATAAACATCGGCTCATAGGGGGCACACTTGGGCCTGCAGGATGGTTGGACATGAGAAATATATAGATTCTAAACAAGTGCCATTCGGGTTGATAAACCACAGGAGACCAAATATCATTGTCTAGTAGGTAGAAATTATTTTGTGTGGCCACCAAACGCTGTCAAAAGATCAATTAGAATGCGTCACGTCATCTCCTGTTCGGTACCTAGCTCGATACTGCTCAGTACTGTGGCTCGGTACCGCTTGGTATCCGGCTCGGTATTGCTGATGTGACGCATTCTGGCTGGTCTCCAGATGATCTGCATTCGGTGTCCGCACAGGCAGGTGAGTAGCCGATCATAATTGAAACCTGCACAAAAATAGCAGCTAGAGATGGGAAAACAATGTCGACTAGGGGCAGCAAAATAATTTTTCCAATTATTATTTGTCAAAAAAACAGCTGTGCCACCAAGATTAGAGGCAACTAAAAAAGAAAGGGGAGGAGAGCAAGAACAGTCCTATGCTGTATGTTCCAACCCAATCTTGCGAGTATTTCAATCTGCGTAAGTTCAACTTAAGGGTATTTAAGATGAGAATAGTATAAATACTGGTGGCTTGCTTTCTAAATATTAGATTATTTCTTTCCCTCCTGATTTAATAGACATGACAGTGCATGGATAGAAAGTAGAAATTTGTATGCATTTTTTGAGATATTCTTCATGTCGGTAATATGATCCAAAAGCTATAGCAAGGTGCGGCTAAGGGAATGGAAAAAAAATATTTTATGGGGATGCCGAACGTCGTCCAGAAATCAACTAGAATGCGTCACTTCACCATTTCACTGTACCGCGGCTCGGTGCTGCTTGGTACCGCGACTCGTTACTATTGACGTGGCTGCACCTTATTCGCCTCCGGACATAGAACTGCGTCCGACCTTCCCACAAAATAATTTCTCCATAGAAAGGTGATAACCCAAGGGAGAAAACCCTTAAGAATGGCATTAGAGATTGAGCAAAAGAAGAAAAGATAGTTTAGGCTTAGTTTCGGATAACTTTCTTACTATTTAATAAAGCAATTTTTTAATATAAATTTTTAAAAAAATAATAAAAAATTACCCCGAATAAACCTTAGAATTGTATTTCTTTAATTATATAAGCAGCACTAAGTCTATCTCGATATTTCTGAAAGAATGAAGATCTACAGTTTAAAGGGCCATAAGCATAGCCAATCATTAGAATGTTGAGAACCGCAAAGCATAGTTCTTGTGATACATCCTCTTCCACTTGTTAATTAAGAGGAGTCTGATTTTTTTTTTTTTTTGATAAAATCTTAAATAATAAGTTTGTTAGCCTCCTGCTTAAGAAGAAGAGAGTTGAGAGTAGATCGCAATTCTACAACGGGCGTAGGAAGATGTGAAAGCCATACCTCCAGATTGACGAAGGAGGGGAGCCTTATGGTGATGTCTAGGGGTGCAAATGAGTCGAGCTTGAGCTAGAGGTAGTTGGAGCCCAGCTCGCTAATTTTGTAAGTGGCTCGAACTTGAGCTCGAGCTTGGTTCATTTGTCCAAATCCCAAGCTCAAATTCGGCTAGTTAGCTCAAGCTAGAAAGATTAGCTCGAACTCTAGCTTGATACTCAATAAGTTCTACTCGCGAGCTCATTAACGAGTCAAGTTTGAATTAGCTCCAGAGTCGGCTTGACTCATTTGCATTGCACCCCTACCGATGTGCCAAGGAGTGGTTGGAGAGGGGGAGACTTATATTTGTTTTCTCTTCAAAGATTCTATTACAGATAAGCTTATCATATATATATATAAAGTTTTGTACTCATATCAAATTAATTATTTAATAAACTAATATTATTAACCTTTTTTATATTTAAATTACTTTGGGTTTATGTTTGGAAATAGTAATTTAGATATTCATTTAGGATTAATATAATTATGCAATTATGTTAATACACCCAAATTTGGCGTCTTTATGCAGATTTAATAAAAAAAACCATGTTTTAATTAAAATTTACAGGTAATTAAAAATTGTATATAATAATTTCATAGAATTGAATGTTACAGTTATGTTTGAATTTTGATTTTTTTTTTTTTTTGAATAATTGAGATTAGCAGAGGACTTTACATACCTATATTAGTGAAAGAAATAGTCCAATATTTGAGTGGAGAGTTATTTGAGCATTAAGCTATAATAGTTATAGATATATGCTTAATATACTTTTAGTCCTGATATATCATATTTTTTTTTATCGGGCATGAATCTCGAGGCAAATTCTAATGGGAAACTTTTGAAATTAAATTTGGAGACATCCAAACTCCAATTTCAGAAAACTTATAGCTGAATTGAACATCTCGAAAAGAAGAACCCAACGATACCTAATTCGATGCAATCCGAGCCCAAATGAGTCCAAATCAAAGATCCGAAGCACATTTGGAAGGTTCAAACCATAAATTGGATAACTAAATGATTTAGGTAATTTGTACCCCTAAAAAATTATTATATGATTATTTAAATAAGTTGTCCCCCTCTATCTATTTTTTCGTCTTTATTACAAGGATTTTTAAGTAATTGCTCTCATAAAAGTTTTAAAATACCAGCCTTTAGGCAATTGCACCCAACAAATAATAAAAAGAATTTATCATTTTATTTTTTAATAAATAAAATTTGTTCCGGGGGAGCTATCCCTTAAAACCCCCACGCCCCTTGACCCCATCCCGCGACCTGACCAGGCAGGTCGAACCCCACCATGGGGTGCTATCCCCTTGGACCCCTGATATATCTTTGAAGCATATAATGATAAAGGATATGAACAAATAGGGGTGATTCAGCTCCTGAGAGAGCGATTTAGATGTAATGTTCATGAATCTATGATAATATAACATTACGCCATAAAATATTCATACTAGATGAACTCCTTATCACACAGACATAGGTGCACACGAAGAAGATTTTTTTTTCTTTTTTGCCCCTTTTTATGTTAGAGTTTTTGTGATCGGCCAACTTAATTGTGTTTTTTTTTTCCCAAATTTTCATGTGGAATAACTTACAATTTTCCCATTTCAAATTAAATTACCTGTGACTAAGATTTTACTTAAGATAATTTTCTTAATACATTTTAGAATTTTTTAGTACAAATTTTTTTGAAAGCAATAAAATATAGTGATCAAAAGCAGTCCAAAAAATTCTTTTCAAAACGAAAAATTTATAACAAAAAAAAAATAAAAAAAAAGGTATTACCTTCTATTTTCCGCAATGACACCAAATATGAAGGCCAATAAACCAAAAACTGCTACGCCGAGAGCAATATTTGTGCTCTGACTTGCAGCTATGGCTTCACTAATGATATGCAATCAGAACAATATAAGGATAATAAATAACTAGCAGAGTAAAGACCATAGAAATAAGAACAAAAATCTTCAGAAAACAATAATCAAATTGCAAAAAAAAATCATCTTTTAAGGATTAAATAAATAGCACCGGCAACCATAAAAGACAAAAAATACAGAGAAAAAAATTGCGAGACAAAGTATCTTTTATGCCTAATAAGAAATAATTTCAATTAAAATTTTTGAAGTTTCACACCTCTCATATTCTAAAGCTACAGCAATTATAAAAGAAATCAACTTTTTTTTAGGTGGATAATATAAGATTTAGGCTTTATTTGAGATAATTTTTTTACTGCTTCTTAAAACAATTTTTTAGTGTAAAATTTTTAACTTTTGTACAAGAAATTAAATTTTGGAGGCAATAAAAAAGCCGTGTCCTTAAGTTTAGAAGAAGCCATACTGAAAAGCCCGGCAAAACCAACGAAAAAGCACACGAAAAAGCCCCAGAAAGAAGAAAACAGCAGGAAATAAAGAACTTTCCTGAAGAAAGACGATCGCCGGAGCAAGATTCCCCTCCCCGAAGGCGGGGAGACGACGGAGGCACAAAACCCCCAACCACGAAACCACGAAACCCTAGCAGTCTCAAAACCCTGAGATGCTCTCGAAATCTTCGAAATAAACAATGACTTTACATGCCTATATTAGTGAATGAAATAGTCCAATATAAGTGAGTTCACTACATTAGAAGATCATAAGTGGAGAGTTATTTGAGCATTAAGCTATTATAGTTATAGATACATGATTAATATACTTTGAGCCTTGATACAACATCAAAATTTTTTTGATCGGGCACAAATCTTGAGGCAAATTCTAATTGAATTTTTTAAAAATTAAATCAGGATCCATCCGAACTCCGATTTCAGCAAGCTTATAGTCAAACTAAATGTTATGAAAAGATGAACCCAACGATGCCTAATTCGACTCAATCCGAGCCCAAATGAGTCCAAATCAAGGATCTGAAGCACATTTAGAAGGTTCAAACCATAAATTGGAAAAATAAATGATTTCTAAATGTGACATGCTTATAGTAGAATCAAGAGGCTTGACGAGACGAATCCAACGAGCCCAAGATCTCTCAATTCCGACATTATTAAGACACTTAAATACTTAATAAACGATCCATAATCAAGGGAGTCAATATCAGCCTAATCAATATGGTTGAATCCATGTAAGGAAAGTAGCTCCACTCAATAGTTACCCTAAGGAATGCCCTCTTATCAACTTGAACCTTTCATCAAGAGTCCACCATCCCATTCACACATGTCCTTTATTTTAGGCTCATTTGAAGATGCATTAACATGGAGGCTCATCTTGCTCTTGTTAATGAAGTATAGGGGATGCTAACAAATACATCTAGTGTAGGTTCTAGGGATAATGTTAATGATCTTGATTTAGAGATGGATATAATGACAACAATATGAAGGGATAAGGACATGGCTCAATATGACAATATGCTCCTGCTCGTACAAATAAAGATGATAAAAAAATCATTACATTGGTGCATGTTAGACGACATAAGAGAGCGATTTAGATGTAATGTTTATGAACCTATGATAATATAACATTACATCATAAAAGATTCTTACTAGATAAACTCCTTATCACACGGGCATGGGCGCGCATGAAGAAGAGAGATTTTTTTCTCTTTTTTGCCCTTTTTTATGTTAGAGTTTTTGTGATCCAACTTAATATTTTTTTTTTTTTTTTTTTTTTTCAAATTTTCATGTGGAATAACTTACAATTTTCCCATTTCAAATTGAATTACTTGTGACTAAGATTTTATTTAAGATAATTTTCTTACTGTTTTTAACAGCTTTTTAGTGCAATTTTTTCTTAAAACAATAAAATATAGCTGTGAAAAGCAATACCAAATACAAATAAATAAATGCCTTATTCTTTTTAAAAAGAAAAAATTATAACAAAAATCAATAAATAAATAAAAGGTTTTACCTTTTATTTTCCGCAATGAGACCAAATATGAAGGCCCATTAAACCAAAAACTGCTACGCCGAGAGCAATATTTGTGGTCTGACTTGCAGCCATGGCTTCACTAACGATATGCAATAACAATATAAGGAGAATAAATAACAAGCAGAGTAAAGATCACAGAAATAAGAACAAAAATCAACAGAATACAATAATCAAATTGCACAAAAAGTCATCTTTTAAGGATTAAATAAATAGCACCGGCACCCATAAAAGACAAAAAATAGAGAAAAAAAATTGCGAGACAAAGTATCTTTTAATGCCTAATTGAAATAGATGCAAATTGCCAAGAATATATGACAGCAATAAGAAATAATTTCAATTAAAAATTATGAAGTTTCATACCTTTCATATTCTAAGGTTACAGCAATTGTAGGAGAAATCAACCTCTTTTTTTGAGGGTGGATAAAATAAAATTTAGGTTTAGTTTGAGATAGTTTCTTTATTGCTTTCGAAAACAGTTTTTCAGTACAAAATTTTCTAATTCAAAAAGTTTTTGTCCTAAAATATTATTTTAGAAAGCAACAAGAAAATTATCCCAAATAAAGTCTTAGACATGCATAATCTTAAGATGAAATAGATGTAATTTTTTAAAAAATATGGGCAAATACATTTATTCACTCTCTGACTTATTTAACAAATATTAGTAAAAAACAAATTTAAAATATATATTGGCATTTAAAAATTTAGGTATAAAATTATTAAACATATTTAAAAGTTATATCCAATTTTTTTATATCAAGTGATTCTTTGTTTTTTCTCTTCTTATTTTTAATTTTTTTATATCATTTTATTATAATAATTATTTGAATCATAATCATTTTTTCTCATTTAACCGATTCGAGCTAGAAGATTAAGTTTAGCTCAAATTTGATTGATTAATCAAGCTCAAAGCACAAACCAAAGTTTATGGAGCTTGGCTCAAGTCATTTACACACCCTAATCTTGGATTGAATGTATTCAAATCATTAAGTGTTGAGCCAAAGACAAAAAAAGCTCAATTTATTAATGAAATTTCAAATTTTATTTAATTATGTTTGACTCCTTTATTAATCTGTTGAATAAGAACACATTAATTCACTAAGTATCTTTTATATAACATTCGAAACTTTCCAAAATTGCTAGTTTAGCAACCAGTTTTTGCTGGAAGGTTAATCTAGTAATCATTGAGGTGGGCAGTTTATTAAAAAATATGATTATTTTCCCTTTAGCTGAGTGTGGGGTCTTTTGGCCCCTTATTTTGGCGGCTGTTTATTGGTTACCTGATGTATCTCTACATCAGGTAACCTGACCCAATAAAAATTCCTTATTTTGAGGTTATTTCTTCCTCTGTTTCTGTTGGGAGGCTGTTGTTTGTGGGAGAATTTTTATTCCTGCTTACTCGGTTTGGTGTTTATGGTTCTGGATTTTTGGTTATGTGGCATGTTTTGGCTGGTGTAGTAGTTCTCTTGATTATTGAGGGCTTGTTTCTGGAGGACCTTCTGCCATCACTTATTCTGGAAAGTTTGGGTTTGAATGGTTGGAGTGCATTTTGTATTTCTTTCGATACTGTGGGTTGATTTTTATGCGCAGGAGGTTTGGAATTGTTTTGGCCGAATGGAAGACCTGCTTGTTGTTTATGGATATTGCCGTTCTTTGGAGATCGCTAGGTTCTTTTGGAGAGCCTCCTTGCATTTTTGGGAGTTCTTGTTTGGAGCCGTTCTTCTGCTTTTGGTTCGGCTGGCTGTTTTTATTGTTTCCCTGAGATTTCTTGTTGTTGCTAGTCTTGGGTTGTTACTTGTTGGGGATTTATCTTCTTGTGGTAATTTTTTCTTTTGTTCTTGTAGAACTTTGTTGTTTGGTCTCCTGCTTCTAGGAGATTTTAGGTATAATTATTTCTTTGTTCTTGTTTGCTATTTTCTTTCTTTTCTTCTGTTTTTTCATTGTAACATTTCTCTTTGTGGAATAAAATTGGACGTATATATCCCTATTTTTCCCAAAAAACTTGCCAAACAAAAAGGGATTGATCCAAACCCAAATGGAAAATCAATTCCAACCTAAGGCTTTGTTTTAGACACTTTTGAATCACTATTTTTTCTTCCTATTTTTAATAAATTTTTATATTAAAAATAACTTTACATAACACTAAAAAAATCATCCCAAACATTATTAATACTTTTGTTATTAAATTTATGCTAAGATTAATACTTATATATATCATAATTAATTAAAATAATCTCAAAATAAATTTAGAAACTTTATCTCAAATCAAAGGAAAATAAGCTCACTTTTATTAAGGAACAAAATTTTTTTTATTTTGTTTGACTTATCTACTATATAAACATCAAATTTATTATTTTGTTTTCATAGACGACTGATTATTTTGAATTTATAACTTTCATGATATAGAATTTTTTAAATGAGACATTGTCCATAATTTCCCAAACAAAAAAAGTTAAATCAAGTTTTATTTATGATCAAATTTAATCAATTTTTTACAATAGTTTGCTTATTTGTTGACCATGTTGGAAAAAATAAAATTTATCGGATGATGTATTAAAGTTTTTTTTTTAATTTACTATTATTCATCCGATTATTCAGTATTAATTTTAATGTATCTAATTAATTATCAAAAAATTAAAAAATTATGAAATCATGCATATCACTAATTTTATCAGTGCTAAAATATTATAAATGATTTTAATTTTATGAAGAATAATGGTAATCACAAATCAGTTTGATTTGAGCTAGCCCAAATTAAATCTAAATTTAAGGTACGTTTGGGATGACTATAATATTTTATAAAATTGATTATGAATGATCTATTTGAGACAACTTTCTAATTATTTTTATTCTTCAGACATCAATCACAAATTTTTTTGGCTACTATTTTCTTGATGTTTTTAAAAACAATTTATGATGAAAAACTATTTTGTGCAATCATAATATCTATGTTACTTTTTCCATAATAACTTCGCAATCAATTTTATAAAACTTTAAAGCTATCCAAAGCAAACGGTACCTTAACTCCGTTACCGTTGACACTAGCACCCCTTCAGAGGAGACCAGGCATATTGCCGTTAATTCGGAGGTTGTTTCATAAACCATCTTCCCTCCAAATGTCCTCTCCTTGGGCAACCTAACTGACAATCAAATTCAATAATGGCTCGCTTGGAAAAAAACAAAAGGACGAAACCAAAGCAGAAGAAAGATCCCAAAGCTCAAAGAAAGACAGATTCCAAATCGAAGTACAAGCCTTTGAGTTACCTTCCCTGCTCAAAATCTCGCCGCCGGCAACGGTCGCCACTTTCTTATTCATTCCTTCTACCTACAGCCAAACAGCTTCAGTTTATCAAAATATCGTTTAAATCTGCAAGCGGCTTCTTTTCTTTCCTTGTTCTTCGAGTAGGAAGGCAATGGACACTTCGCAGAGGAAAGGGAGCGGAGTGCCGATGCCTTCCTCTCAAATTCCTCGGCCAAGCGAAAAGTATGGAAGAGATCTTCGATTAGGCGAAGGGAATGGGCATTTAAGCAGCAAGAACGATAAGGAGAAGGGAGTCAATGTTCAAGTTATTCTCAGATGCAGGTAAATAAAGATAAATTACGTTGAATTTTTCTCAGTTTGATCTGTTTCCTCTGCTTATTTTGACAGACCTTTGAGTGAGGAAGAGGAGAGCTTGCGGATGCCGGCGGTGATATCCTGCAATGAGATGAAGAGAGAAGTATCGGCAATTCAGAATTTTGGGAACAAACAGATTGATAAAACTTTTGTGTTTGATAAGGTTTATTATAAGTTTGTTCTTTTGGTTTGTCTTTTAGAACAGATATTTGAATACATTGAGCTGATGAATAAGTGCTCTTCTGATGATTTTAAATAGGTTTTTGGACCAACATCCCAACAACTGGATTTATTCAATCAATCCATCTCTCCAATTGTTGATGAGGTGCTTGAGGGCTTTAACTGCACAATTTTCGCCTATGGGCAGACTGGTACTGGAAAAACTTATACTATGGAAGGAGGAAAGAAAGCAAAGGTGTTTTTTTTTTTTTAAATTATTTATTATTTGGTTCAATATTATCTGGATGGTAGTACTACTTGTTAACACCTAATTACAATTGATTAGCGCTAATACTCTGTAACCTTAAATCCTCTTTAACCAATGGTAATATTACACGTGTACAGCACACTACCTACCGCCTATTTATAGGTACCTGTACTCAGCTCTAAAGATGAGAAATATATTTTATCTTGATTTCACATCTTGTCATATTCGACTTCTTCTTCTTCTTGAACTCCGGCGAGTTCATCGTATCAGAATTCTCTACACTACTATGCAACAGTTATTCAAATAACAATGCTACATTTGAATCACTTAAAGCACATAATCAATCATGAATCATGAAATGATCATTTAAAAAAAATTATATGGAAATTTACATACATACTACTTTATTTTATGCTATTTATATATCTAACATCTAAAACATTAATATTACATGTCTACCACACATACAATTTTAATATCAAATATATCATTCGGATAATTCATTTCTATCATTCATATCATCCTATAAACTTTATTATTTCATTTCATGCACCCAAATTTGTTCTATGAGTGGTAGGCATGTAATATTAATATTTCGGATGTTAGATATATAAATAGCATGAAATAAAGTGGTATGCATGTAAATCGTAAAAAACACTTTCCCTAACATACAATATTTTTCATATAAAATTGAACCAAACAATCCATTCAAATTGTACTATTTGAAGATTACAGCAAGTTGAACAGCAAACATATCATTTGTAGATCAGCATTTGTAAATCAGATCTTCATAACTACTATTTCACTAAACTTTTAGTTGTTCCATTGTTCTGCTAGCATGGGGAGTTCTCCAGTGATGCAGGTGTAATCCCAAGGTCTGTTCGGCAGATTTTTGAATCACTTGAAGCACAGTGTGCGGACTACAGCATGAAAGTTAGTTTTCTGGAGCTGTATAACGAGGAAATAACAGATCTTTTGGCTCCAGATGAGCTTAAGATATCGGATGATAAATCTAAGAAACCTATAGCTCTCATGGAAGATGGGAAAGGAGGTGTCTTTGTTAGAGGACTAGAGGAGGAGATAGTTTGCTCTGCTAGTGAGATATACAAGATACTAGATAGAGGTTCTGCAAAGAGGCGCACGGCAGAGACTCTACTTAACAAGCAGAGCAGTCGTTCTCATTCCATATTTTCAATCATAATTCAGATCAAGGAGGTTACTCCAGAGGGTGAAGAACTGATCAAAATTGGGAAGCTTAATCTTGTGGATTTAGCTGGTTCGGAGAATATTTCCAGATCAGGTGCTCGTGAGGTAAGCAAAACCTTTGCATACCCCAGTGTTTTGAAATGATTTGATTTGCGTTGAAATGCTTTATGGAAAGTTGGAGTTTTATCTTTATCAAACAAACACAACAATTAAGCTCGCAAGAGGTGAGTATATAGAAAACAGAAATATTTTATTGGAACTCACAGTTGCTTTAATCTTTCATTGCATGGCCACCTGTGCAAAACTTTTCCATGACCATGAAGAGGTTATGCTATTGCAGGGGAGAGCAAGGGAGGCTGGAGAGATAAATAAAAGTTTGCTTACTCTTGGCCGTGTCATAAATGCACTTGTTGAGCACATTGGCCATATTCCTTACAGGTGACATTAACAAATGGCGTCCTATATTGTGTTCAAATATACTGTTAGATATCTTTGTGCTGAGGTGTTGTGTTATTTGATTTGTCAGAGAGAGCAAATTGACAAGATTACTGAGGGATTCCTTGGGAGGAAGAACAAAGACTTGTATCATTGCAACTATATCACCCTCTATTCAGTGTTTAGAAGAGACACTGAGCACATTAGATTATGCACATCGTGCCAAAAATATAAAGAACAAACCAGAGGTTTTCAACACATCTAGTTGTATGCTAGTGTAAGTGAATTCTCTTTCTGTGATCACACATTTAACTATTTTTTTCCCTGTTATCATTTTGCAGATTAATCAAAAAATGACGAAATCTGCAGTGATGAAAGAGTTATGCTCTGAGATTGACCGTCTCAAACAAGGTCTGTGAACATTAAATCTAGATTACTCTCTTTCTCAGCGATCAGTCATAATCCATCAGTTTATTTATCCTGCTCCCTCTTCCTTCTTTACATTTGAGTAACTTCAAGTAACAGTCACCAAAACTCTATCCGAACTCTTTGTTATTTTCGGTGTCCTCTTTAAATTTAATGTTCCAAGTAATTAGCGCCCCAGAAAATCATTCTGGCTCCACCTCCGTTTGACGCTGAAAAACCATTGCACAAGTATGTGCAATGCGTGGAGATCAATACACAAACATATATAGTTGACTCATCCACCCTCAATCATATCATATAGAAATGTCTAAGAACTTTAATGTTTTCCATCTTAGGTCTCAGATTTCTTGGAGAAATTGACATAGAAATTTAGAGGAGCACACAAAAAATTACTAAGAAATAATTTTGTAATGTGATGCAGTTGGCAGCTATATGAGAAGAAGCTTTGGGAGGGAACTCTTTGGAAAAAAGGGGGTTCTTTGGGAAAGATACAAGGGGCATTTATTAGGATATTTGAGCTGTTTAAGGGAGAGATTATGGAGGGTTAGGATTTTTATGTTATGTTTTGAATTTTTACAACAGTTTTTGTGAGGTGTTTGGGTTCCTAGTAGTTGCTAGGAATTGTGGGAGAGATGATTCTCCTCTCAAACAGTGAATCAACTAGTATCTTGTCTTGCTTTGATTGAAAATTAAAAAAAACAGTTCTCTTGGAGTTATTTTTGAATCTATTTGGAGTCAGTTGTTGTTTTCTTTTATATTGTTGTGTGTTGTTTTGATCATCAAGTTCTATCATAATCATACACCTAAAGCACAATCCACATAGCACCAAGTAGTTTGAGGAGTTTGTACCTTTTAGTTTTGCTCAGATTTATTGCATAGTCGATTGTCTTCAGAATTTCTTTATGACATACATTTTACCTCTTGTGCAGAAGTAAATGCTGCAAGAGAGAAAAACGGAATATACATCCCCAGGGATCAGTTCCAGCAAGAAGAAGCTGAGAAGAAGGTTAGCATGTAATATAACAGTTAGCATAACTGCATCAAGCATATAATGTCTTCATCACTTCTTTTTTTTTTTTATAATGTCTTCATCACTTAATAACCAAACAACCCTCATGCATTATTTCAGGCTATAGCAGAGAAAATGGAAAGCATGGAATTCGAATTGGAATCAAAAGATAAGGTATCTTCTATATTTTGATCAGTATGTCTCAGAGCTAGCTTTTAGAATGGTTTCTAACTATGAATATAATGTTGAGACCAGCAATTAATTGGGCTTCAAGAGCTTTACGATTCACAACAACATTTGAGTGAACAGTTAAGTGAAAAGTTCGACAATGCCCAGGTATATTAACCTCTACCTTTAAATCCATTCCTAACCCCTGATAGGAATCAAATTTCACTTAATATATTCCCTTTATACAGAAAAAATTGAAAGACCATGAAAACATGGTTGTTGACCTGGAAGAAAGATGTCAAAAGGCAAAGTGTACAATAAGGGAAAAGGAATATCTGATAATGAATCTCCTCCATTCCGGTTGGTTAATTGTGGAATTATACTTTTTAAGATCACATAGGGCTTTCTATGTCTAAAAAGGAACTTTCTACTGCACAAATTGCTGTATTAATAATTATGTTGTAGTTTTGTGTTTTTATCCATCCTACTGCATAGCCTGCACCTTTCCTTTTCACTTTTTTTTTACTAGCCTACAAACATATACTGTGGCATTAGAGTTGTTTATATGCAGATTTTGAGTGGTCATTCCGCAATTCTAGTACTTGGTGAATTTTTAATGGAGGGAAAAATGGAAAAAAATATGCACATAATAAGAATCTAAGGAGCACTCAATTGGCAAAAAATAATTTTATTCATTCCAATTAATAATAATGAAGAAAACTACATGTCATCAATCTCTATCATACAAATAGGTACATAGATAAGGCCTACAATTTTGGATAGGCTTTTTTTCTAGAAAAAAAATATCATATCTATAATGTATAAACCTAAACTTAACCAAAATAGATAATTAAACCAAATAAAATAAATCAATTAAAAATTATGAAAATTAGTCCATAAGTAAATATGTTTCTGAAAAAGAGTTGAAATTGATATTGTTCAATTGTTTTCTGCCTTATTTGTTTTCTTTTGCTTAGCTTATATAAATTTCTAGGCTAAAATAGTTGATTTGTACTGCATCAGTTCATTTGGCCAGCAAAAAACTCTTCCACTGAAGAGTTCGGTGGAAGCCATGGACGAAGTGACACCACTGGATCATCTGATGGAACAAGCATCCATGCAGTATAGACATAAGAAGTCGTCCAACAAATACAATTTTAAAAGCTTGGACGCTAGATAGTTACAAAGTTTAAACACTTGTTGGATCTTTGAAATGTGGAACAACAATAATAAGGGGTAAGGGGATGACGTTGGCAGTGGCATTACAAATTCAATTTATGCTAGGTGTAATTGAAGCAAACAATAAACATCTAAAATGGCGCGTCTCCTGAAATAATAGGTGAATTGGAACAATATACTCCAAGAATTTTCAGAAATTATTATCTTATATTGAACAACATTGTCAAGCTCAAGCATTCCATTAGTCATAGGCCTAATCTGTAATGACCTAAAATTAAAATTGGAAGAATTATTTCTATATCTTTTAAATTTTAACATCAGATCTATCTATTTCCATAATAATAACAACAGAAACTAAAACTAATAATCAAAACCTCAAAATATAATTGTATTCATTACTCAAAAAATCATATACACTACTCGGGAATTACATATCGCTCTAGTCTTGAGTACAAAAGAATAGCTATAAGACATAAAAAAATAAACTAACATTAAACCTAGAGAATCCTAATCTGATCAATCTCGCACACCTCATAGCTTGAAATCATTTAAACAACATATAATGAGCTAAAAAACTCAGTAGATCACTAAAACCTACAACTGACTTAAAGCACGGTAAATAAGCATTATGCATGTCATCAATCAATTCATAGCAGTAACAATTAATATGAACATAGAGTCTGTGCAAAAACAATAAAACTCACATACAATAATGATCTATAAATAATAAAATAGAATGGTGTAGAAGCCAATAAAGCTGTACAGTGGGAATCCAATAAACCAATGAACCAACCGAGTGCCAAATCGATAAAATAACTGTCATCGTGACATACAGTAATACAATAAATAATCGCGTGTTCACTATAGCTAGTATCTTACAAGCAGTACAATAAATAACGGTAACAATAACAATAGTGATGAATTAGTAGTTGTATAATGAATCAATAACATCAGCATGTCTTTTATACACATATTATTATCACATTAATATAACAGTAATGGTGATCAACTATTATCCAATCATACACACATTTTCATTCTCAATGCCTATATTGATAAAATAAAATAACACCAAATTATTTATTCAATCTAAATCATACAAAAGACAATAACTTCTATTTTAATTGGTACAATATAGAAATTAACCAGTCAAAATGTCCATAATGCTCAGTACTATAACATACAAAAAGTTGTACAGTAGAAGTTCATTAAAATCGAAAAAATGCAATAAAATCAGTTCCGGGGAGAATTAAACGGTTAACTCGAAATCTTTGAAAACAAGAGTAGGGAATAAGTCACCTCTCTCAATTGGAACAATTTTCATAAAAAGCGACGAAGCAATCCGACAAGTAGAATCAAATTTTCTCCTTCTCTCTCTCCTCCTAACTCCTCTCCCTCTCTCGTTTCCTTCTCATGCAAGCTGGCGGTGGAGTGAGGGAGGACGTGTGAGTGGAGAAAAATATATATAAAAAACGATTTTAGTGGCCTAGCACCGTAACGCTAAGACCCAAGGCTGAAGAGCTGCATGTAGAATCCAAAATTAGTGTAGAACAAAAGCTTCAACGCCACAACAATCATTCTGGGCACCACTGCACTTTAGACCCCAATGCCTCAACGCTCAAAGGTGCAAAGCCGTTGCGCTGTAGTTCAAACAAGAATTCATTTTTTTAACACATTTCAAAAATTCGATAATCTTTGATAATATCTCAAATCAACCTCTAAAAAATAATAATGCAGGTATTGATAACTCATAATCATCCCGTTCTTCATAAAACAATAGGTGCCTTCACAAACATCTTCATAAAGACCATCATCATAAATTCACTATTAGCCTTAGGCAACGTATTTGGTTTAGGCCTTAGATCAAACTACAAACTCAAAAAGGTGGAACATCTTATCATCAACCTTAAGAGATTCATCTGCTGCATGGACTTTGGCTTGTGTTGCACATATAGCCTCAATAGAATATGTTTGTTCATGAAATTCTTCTTTAAAGCTATTAAGGGCTTCCAAGATTTTGTCCAACTGAGATAAAATTCCTTGCATGATCAGTTGAAATTGTTGACGAGTTGATGAATCATAATATCGATAATGATCAAAAGGCTGTGATGGAACACAACGCTGACTAATCTACTTTGGTTTAAGGTCATAGTTCTCATCATTTTGATAAGATGAATGATAATCCTTACTCTGAGAAGAATGCCAAGAATGATGAGATCGATGGTGAGAATTTTTATAAACTGATCATGTAAGTATGAGATCTGAATAATTATCATAACCATGCCAATGAAGAGAAATTCACATTATAGCATGCTACAGTATCACCAGTACAGTAATTACTTAGAATAAATTCAAATATTAAGTTGAGAGCATGCATAAAATATCAACATATATCATGGTCAGATCATATTAATAAGAAAACCTGATTGCAGACAACATGAATCCATGATTAAATAGGCGCAGATTAACATTAATGTGTTAGGAGTCAAGAAGCTCTGACTTACTATAAAATGAACATGTCACCGAGCTCAAACAGATCAGATTTCGTCAACACTGAAGCCTCTTTATGTCAATCTAAGACCACAAGTAATAATTAAACACATGTATTAACTGTGCTGACATCAAATTTGAAATATTAATTAATAATAAATTTCTTAATTAATAATTTCTTATTACTCAATGATGTGAATCAACATGCGGTGAACAAGAATTGCATTTGAGAAATTAATAAAAGCGATGAATTTTACCTTGCTACCAAATAACTCTTTGTTTGCTCAAGTTTGAGTTTAAGAATATGGCGTTGATAGATTAAGTAATGGCAATAGATTACATGTAGGGATTACAGGAACTTGCAAAATAACAATCAAAGATTTATGTAATGCAAATAACTAATGATAACGAAGCCTCAAATTTAAAATCTAGAGACGGCACAGGTAGGAGAGAAAAGCTTTATAAGAAATCAATTTCAGATTTCTGAAATTGTATTATTCAGGTGAGGAGAGAGGAGGCGGGTAAGAGAGGAGGCGGGTGGGGCTGTGAGGGAAAAACAAAAGAGAAAATCTGAATTGTTTATTCATACTTCCAAAAAAAGTGTGGGGAAAATAAATTCCAGTTTCCAGATTTTGAAATTGAAATTACTTTGGAGGGAAAGGGTTAAGGTGGCATTAAAAGAGAATTAATAGGGAAGAGAGAGGGAGAGGGGGCCGGCCATGTAAAGAGGGTGATGTGGCTTGATGTTTTGAATAGATGGGGACCACATACTTCATTCACAGATTTTACAAAATCTGAAATAAAATTTTAGATTTCTTAAGGGGAAATAACTTCCTAATATGAGGGCAATCAATTGGATCAATTTGAATTTCAAATTTGAAATTGAAATTCAATTAAATTGATTGCCTAAAATTAAGGAGCTAAATTAGGAAACAAGTAATGGCTCATAAAACATTCAAATTCAAAATTCAAGGAGTGGGGAGGAGGCGGCGGCAAGAAGGGGGAAAGGGAGCCGGCGGCATGGGGGCTGGACGGTGGCTGTTGGTCGGCGGAAGGGGGCTGCAGGCCGGCGGCCTGGGCAAGCCAGGGAGGGGCGGCGACAGGGGAAAACTTGGGATTCAAACGGGAATTCCACTCTCCACAATTGCTTCAATCCAATCTCCACGACGACGAATCGACCACGAGAAATAATGGGAAGAAAATTAGTAGAACAAGAAGATCTAGAACTCACAAAGAGATCTAGCTTCTCCTACGAACTCACTAAGAGATTGTGGAGGTTTGCAGTCACAAAGAGAACAAGAAATGTCAAATTTTCATTCATCCAAAAACTAAACTATTACAATGCATGATGCCTCATATAAGGAGGCCAAAATAAACATAACTGAAATGACATAAATGCCCTCAGGGCTACATAAGTGAAACAAGACCCTCAGGGGCAAACTTGGAAAACTAAAGAAAATACACTCATGACATAAAATGTAAATAAATCAGAAATAGAGACTCTGGATCGTAGCCGTCGATCTGCGTCGCCGGCGATGGTACACGTGTCGAAATCTGATGTCCCCATCACTCAATGCCTTAAAAAAAATCCAAAATTCGCTATAATTCTTAAGAAAACTAGAAATTCATCTACAAGTAATGGGGAAATAAAACCAATTCTTTTGTATGATCCAAGTATTTGGAGCCTAAATAAAGGGTAAATAAGTTAAATGTGACAACACTGATAATTATTATGAATATAGTGCTACACTTGACAAGATAAAAGTAAAAAATTACTTGTATTTGAGAAGAATTTGAGCAGCACCTATGGATCGGATGATGAAGTTTAGAGAATAGACTTTGTTGGCCTGGGCATTTATTTACGAAGGATGTTAGAGTCACCAATTAAGCGGGCAGATGGAATCAATAAAAAAATGCATACAAAGGGAAAGAAAAGTAGCTTGCATAGAAATTGCAATTTAAGATTGGTATAAATAAAGTTAATATCATAAGCATCTCGTAATAAAAAAGAAAGGATGAAAAATTTTTATAAAGCACATTCAGAAATAGTTGAGATAAGGAAAATAATGCAGTATATTAAGAAACTCCTTTTTCTTTTTTGTTTGATATGTTACATACTCCAGAATTCTAATGCTATGCAAGTGCCATGTTTCCCATTTACATTTTTAGATGATCTATTATTTGTTTCATTCCTTCCAGAAAAAGGGCTTGTTGAACATGCCCGTGCTCTTCGATTAGAGCTAGAGCATGCTGCTGCAGATATTTCTGGATTGTGCTGCAAAATTGGTTAGTAGCTAGATTTTATAAGCGTCCAATTGGTTAATAATAGTTTTTGTTGCTCATTCAGAACGACGGAAGAGAACATTTTATACTGATATCTTCAAATATGGTCATTTTCAGAGAACAAAGATAAGATAGAAGAGAGGAATAAAATTACTGTCCAGAAGTTCCAATCACAATTGACTCAACAACTGCAAAATTTACATAAAGTTGTCTTAACTTCTGCGATGCAGCAAGAGAATCAACTAAAAAAAATAGAGGAAGGCATGCAATCATTTGTTTCAACGAAGGCTATGGTAACACCTAAAATGCTCAACCGTGTATTTTTTTGTCAAAATTATGGAATTGTCTGGAGAGGCAGAAGTTATTATTTATACCTTATGTATTTGAAAATCTACTTATATATTGATTTCATACCCAGGCTGCTACAGAACTTATAGCATGGGTTGAAAAACTGAAAGCTCTGTATGGCTCAGGAATAGCAACGATGGATGGTTTGGCAGGAGAAATAGATCAAAATTCTCGAGTAACTTTGGGGAAGTTGTACTCACAAATGTTAACAAATTCTTCTTCTCTTGATGAAGTAAGTATTACTTACATTCTCGCAAATTTCTGCTCCAAAACTGCTTCCTTAGGTTTGATTTATTCCCTTTTCAATAGTGCCTTAAAAGTATTGCTTGGGAGGCAGAGAATTTGCTGAAAGAGCTTGAAAGTAGCCTTTCTAATCAAGAGGTTAAATTGAATACATTTGCAAAACTGCAAAGAGAGGTTGGTGTTTTTTCATGAACATGCAAAACTTGTTCTATTTTATTAGCCGAACTTATGCTCACTACTAATACTGTTTGTGGAAACCAAACCAGGGAAACCAAAGAACTGTGGAGGCAACACGCTCCATTTCAAATACAACTACAAACTTCTTCCATAGTTTAGATGTTCATGTATCTATGTTGAACAAAATTATGGAAGAAACACAGACTGCACAAAACCAACAATTAAGTGAACTCGAGAGGAAAATTAAGGTGATTCTCAGCATTTCTCAACTATTTGGCTTTACTCTAGCTTAAAATATGATTTCCTTTGCAATATTTCCTAAGTCAAGATATTCTTGCAGGAGTGTGCTGCTAATGAAGAAGAGCAATTGCTAGGGAAGGTGGCGGAGATGTTGGCAAGTTCAAATGCTCGGAAGAAAAAACTGGTACAGAGTATATTCTAGTTCCATCATTCATCGAATTGTTTCTGCAATTTTGTACACTGGAAACTATCATCATTGGTGCATTACTATAGTGTTCTTATAAATGTCATCCTCAATCAATCCACATAATGGTGCTTGAGTAGGTGGTTTGCATCAAATTTGGTTTGACCTGCTTACAATCTACTGAAGTTATGTTAGGAACTACTAGCTATGCTATGGTCTATTGGATTTATGGATTGATTTATTGCCAAAAATGATTCTTATAGATCCATAATCATTCCCATGTTAAATTGATGGACTTCCGTATTTTGAATTGGGTGGCTTCGATTTCACGAGGTCGTGTTAACTGCTTAGGTAAGCTAAATGATATGAATGCTAAATGTGTTCGATGTTCGGTGACATATTGCCCGCATACATTCCTAGTTCTATTTTATCTAATAAGGCTTGCTTTTGTACTATGGATTTCATTTGTTAGGTACTTTGCACGAAAAGCCTTTGTCATGGCATGCAGTTCATGAGCTCTATTTTTTAGTTTATTTTATGTGAATTCTGATTAAACTTATTATTTAGCAAAATCTCATTTGAGAATCATACTCATAAGCTTAATATTGATGTCAAATTGTCAATTTTAACCTTCTGTGTTGCATAATAGTATTTGACAAAAGTTGGAAAATATATGGAACTTGTATGAAAAAATACCAGTCCCTTGCACAAATATGAAAGGTAAGGAGAAAAAGAGAAGGAAAAAAAATGAGGAAAAAATAGAGAGAAGAGGAGACAACCAGTAAATTTTTCTCTCATACCTTTTTCTCTCTTCCTCTTTGTGTATACTGCTTGACATTTTTATATGAAACATGAAATAACTACTTAGCTAATGTAGATAGTTTCTTTAAAAATTATCACAGTTTCAGAGACATTTAATGACTAACTTAGCACACTGACCTAGTTGCATGTGAACGAATACATATATGCGTTCCCTTCATGAAACATCTCTTTGAAGATGAGGCATAGCATGACATGTAGCCATATATGTTTATTGTCGTAAATCATAAAATGAAGCACTTAATTGCATTTGATTTAGTAAACTTTTGAACTAGATTAACTAGGGTGAATTGCTATTCCTTGCATCATTTTATCTTTGATATTTGTTTTGTAGGTTCAAACAGCAGTTGACACTCTCAAAGCAAGTGCTGCTGATCGAACACATGATCTACAAAACGAAATCTCTAATGCTCAAAGTTTCACATCATTTGTTAAAGAGAAATGGGAGTTATACATGGAAGAAACTGAAAACCATCACCTTCAGGATACTGTGGCAGTGGAAAACGGAAGATGCTGCTTGGAAGAAGGCCTGAAAGAATGGTAAATATGCTTATCAAGCCACTTGCAAGAGAAAATTTTATTTTATGCTAAAGTTTGAAGTAAAATAACATCCTTATATACAAATATTTTCTGTGATATGCAGCATGGCAGACATAAAAATTGGTTCACTGCTATGGAAAAATGCTCAGGATTCTTTGTTGAGCTTGACGAAAGGAAATGTAGCATCAGTGGAATCAATAGTTAGGTGAGCAAAATTTCAAAGATTTTGAAGTAGATGAATGAACAGTAAAAGCACATGAGAGTACTAAGTTTAATCTACATTGAATAGTTGAATATAAGTTGTAAGCACATCAAGTAGTTGTCTTTTCCCGTATGCTTAAGCTTTTGGGTTAAAAATGACTTTAATCACTTTGGCACCCAATTTGATTCACTCACCAAAATGATCAGCACATATTCATAATTCTAATTCTGAATTGGCACTCAAATATTTTTGCTTAGGAATGGAATGGAATCCAATCAGCAACGAAGAGCAAACTTGTCTTCTGCTACCACGACAGCGCTAGAGCACGTTGATGTAGGAAACAAGAGTATTCAATCCTCTTTGGACAGTAAGCTTTTCATTCCTCTCTTTGATTTGTCTGGCAAACCAGGATTCAAGTTATACATGTTTTTGAATTAGTAGCTCACTTTGAAAGAACAAGTATTTTCATGTGTTTATTAGTGATAATTCTCCATCTATTTTGGTTTTCACATATCTGCATAATCACCAGGTTCTTTAAAACATGATCATGATGCATGTGCAAGCATCTGTTCCTTTATCGCCCCATCTCAAAGGGACCTGTGGAACATGAGGAATGGACACTATCAAAAGATTGTCGAGATCACAGAAAATGCTGCAAGATGCTTAGAACAAGAATATACGGTAAGCCGTAAGCACATTAACTACAGGGCACCCTTTAGTAAAACAAACCTGTTAAATTTGATTGTTGTATCAAATCAAAATTGTATAGATGGATGAACCAGCTTTTTCAACTCCAAGGAGGGTGATCAATTTTCCAGGTGGGGCATCCATCGAGGAGTTAAAAACACCAGCCTTTGAAGAACTGCTTAAGGGATTCTGGGAGTCCAAATCTGCTTGCAAACAAGCAAATGGTGATATAAAGCATCTATATACAGCATATGAGTATCATTCGCAGGCCTTGAGAGATTCTAGAGTTCCCTTAACTACACAATATTAAGTGAGAGCTCAAGAAAGATGCATCCAGCACTCTGTACAGATAAGGGATTGAGAACATTCAATCGTTCTTCACTTCTATCACATAACCTTTGCCAACCCGGCTAAACTGTAGAGTAAAAAAGCTGAGGAAAAAAAAAAACACTTGTAGCATGTTATAAGTAGTGCAGTGTATCTTCGATATGCCATTGAAACATACAGAGGGTTTTACCCCTTGATTAGGGTTATTAAATTAAATTAAATAAATGCACGCATTTTCTATCAATCAATTACTAGTTCTTTTTTCTCTCCTAAAATGCCTGTTAACTTCTGGGCTTGGTCAGTGTTGTGTTTTGAAAGAAAATCCAGAGAAGCAAAAGAGTGCGAGACATTTGTGCTTCTTAGCTTCAGGGTTTTGGCACATGTAGTTAGCAAAATGGGGTTTTTACATGCAAATCTCAAGAGGGAAAAACCATATGCTCCTGTGAATGAGAACAGAGGTTCATCCTCCTCAAGAGTCTGAGGATTTTGGCACATGCAATTAAACTTGTTCCAATCTCCTCGTTTCCTCACTCAGGACACAGTATTTCCTCTAAGCTAAACAGTAATAAGATTTCACTGTTCACACCAGACAAAGATGTGGGCAACTCCCTGTAAATCAATATCACAAATAATGTATTCCAATTTTGGTAAATTTGATACATTATATGTCATCCATCTCATATCAAGCAAAGAAATAATTCATTTTAGTCTCCCAATCTACTAAATATTGAGGTCATGAAGACCGTCAAATGTGGAATGCTTCAACAGTTGATCCTTCTGGTATGATCATAATGATCTTCATTAATATGATCATGGTCAGTTGCAGGTGCTCCTGGAGAGGCCAAGTCTATAATGCTCTTGTCCTTAGGTTGGGATGGTTTTGATCTGCAATGTTGTTACAAGCACCAGTTGTTTTGCAAAGATTTATGGGAAAAAAAATACAATTTATCCCTTATCAGTAGGGTTGATCACCAGAATTCAGAAGGTTGCAATCTCCGTGCAGGTAGAAGATCCAGCTTCAGTTGTTGGTAGCTTCGAAGGTAGATGGGGAGGTCGAGGCGCGCGAACTGCTAGATGGAAGCGCAGATACGTTGTGACTTCCCGAGCTGGCGTGCGAGAACACACGACGTTATTGAAAGGAGTCCCGTTGCAGCAGGCGGGATTGCGTGAAGCTATACAAACGGAAGATTCAGGCAAGGTCGAATCCAGATTAGGGCTGGGCGAGCAGCACTTGGTGCGGGCTACTTCGCGCGAAATGTTTAAGTAATGAATCGCACGGACTAAACCGAAGAGATTTAGGCTTTTTTTATTCGACTTTTTTACTATTTTTTTATTAAGTACAAAAATTTTTAGTCTGTTTTAAGAGCATAGTTTTCTTGCTTTTCAAAGTTATTTTATTTGGTATAAAATTTTTTTGTATGCAGCAAAAAAATTATCTCAAACAAAGTTATAAACAAAAATTAGCTACTTTGTGCAATTTAGGTTTCGTTTGGAGTAATTTTATAAAGCTAATTTCTAGTACAAAAAATTCTAATTCAAAAAAAAATTTAAACTAAAAAGCTATTTTAAAAGCAATAAAAAAGTAATCCCAAATAAGATCTTAAAGTTTAACGGGAAATGTAATAAGTCGCAAGACCTAGACTATGAATAAAAATATGTTTAAAAAAAAGCAGACTTCATTTAAGAAAATTTTCTTATTAATTTTTAAAACACTTTATAAATGTTTATATTGAAAAGTTGTTTTAAAATGTTGTTAAAAAGTTGTCTCAGACGAAAGTGATACATCATAAAAAAAAAAAAAATTATGATTAGGCATGAATCTTGAGGCAAAATCAACTTTGAAAATTTTGAAATTAAAATTGGGACCATCTGAATTCCGATTTCAGCAAAGTTACAGTCAAACTAAACGTCTCGAGAATACGAACCCAACGGTACCAAATTCAACTCAATCCGAGCCTAAATGAGTCCAAATCAAGGACTTGAAGCACAGTTGGAAGGTTCAAAACATAGTTTGTATTACCAAACGGTTTCCAAACGTTACATGCTTATAGTCGAATTGAGTGACTCGATGACAAAATTCCATCGAGCCTAAGATCACGGAATTCCGACATCATTAAGACCTTCAAATATCTAGCAAACGGTCCACGATCAAGGGATTCAACATCGGCCGTCCATCCAAACCACTCCCCATTTACCCTTGATATTCCTCCTATTTACGGGTCATGCCACTTTAGGAAATCTATAAATAGACCCCTCATTTCTCTTAAAAAATGACCCCTAAGTCTAAGAAAAAGGAGAGAGATCGGAGATTACTCTTGCCTCCTTGTCTCCTCGACCACCGCACGGAGTTCCGTCAGACCACCACTTGACTCCGGAGTTCTGCCGTACCACCCCCTGACACCAGAGTTCCACCAGTTTACTGCCCAACTTCGGAGTTCTGCAAGACCACCACGTGACGCAGGAGTTCCGCCGGACCACCACTCGACATAAGAGTTTGCCCGACCCCCACCTGACGTCGGAGTTCTATCAGACCACTACCCGACACTGGAGTTCTATCGGACCACCACCCGATGCCGAAGTTTTGCCAAACCACCGTCGGACTACCAACAGACTCCCAAATTTTCAAGTAACATCGCACTTCAGCCAGACCACCAGGTATGGAGCAATATTGATGATTAGATCAAACATGGCCTTCTCAAACAATCCACTGTGGGCTCCGAAAATTCCATCATGGTATGTGTGTGTGATCCCGGCCTCTCCGCGCCATCTGTCTATTTTTCTTTTAATTATTTGTGTGACGATGACGGTAGAGAGTTTTAATGAGATTTGGTTCTGGGGGAATTTTCAAAAGGCATATTAGGTTTTAGATAAGACACTACCCAGAGATTTCACCCTCATTTGGTGAGGACTTTTTGATCTGAGTTCTGGTTTCCTATAGGCGCAAGCCCCTATAGTTAATTACCCCTCCCAATAAAAGGAGAGAACTTTCGATTAAGGCTAGTCGTAAAAGAGGTCGAATAGGTTATAAACCTATCGTATAATAGCAATAATTT